AAGTTCTTATTCTCTACTCTGAGAAACAAATGCCTGATACTTCATTAGAAGTGATAGAAATCAGTAAAGAAGAAAATTTTTAAAGAGCATTAAGAAGAATGAATAAGGCTGGGTGTTGGTGGTGCACGCCTTTAATCCCAGCACTCAGGAGATAGAGGCAGGCAGATCTCTGTAAGTTCCAGGCCAGCCTGGTCTCCAGATTGAGTGCCAGGGTAGGCTCCAAAGCCACGGAGAACCCTGGAAAGAAAAATGAATAAATAACTCTATCATTCTATGAACTTGATATTTTCTTCAATTGCCTATGTTAAAAGTTAATCATGATGGACTCGATGGCACCTCCCTGCAATTTTGAGTGACCTGTGACCTGAGGCAGAGGATTGCCAATCCAAGAGTCTTGCAGGCAAGAACCACAGTGCCTGTCTCTGCAATGTAAGTGTCTGATACAAATTAAAATACCGAGTATGTCAGAAGTTTATGAAAAAGGTCAGATAAGAATCAAAACAAATAGTACAGCTTAACTATGTTTAAATCACACCCAACAATGAGTATATAAAAACATCCAACAGTGTTTACTCCAAAGGAGAAGGAAATTTCAGACTGTGTGTCATCTGTGTTTTTCTAGCATCCTGGAATATATTACTGTAGTCATGAGTAAATGACAACAAGAAAATAGAGAAAAAGAACAGATACTTACCTTTTCTAGAATTCCCCCATTAAACACATAGGAAGTGAAGAGAAAGGGAAATTGAACCAATTGAATCACAGACCTGGACATAGAAGAAAAAAAAGGTTTAATGAGAAAAGGAAAGTGGATCTATTTTTAGTTACACTAATAAGTTTGAGAGACTACAATACATATTGCAGATATGGATAATTCAGACATGACAACCTTGTAAGACAGATCTTATTTTTCGTACTTTTGGTGTTCAGGATTGAAATACAGCCATCTCTGACTTTGAATAACATCTCTGAGGGTTTTTTTGCCAGTCAGAATGGAGCACCTGAGAGGTCCCTAATGTGTAGGATTTTGTTGTGGTGAGAGCAGTGGACCAAAGCAGGGTGGGTGGGTGTCTCAGTAATGGTGACATTATTAGATATACCTGTCTCTTAGAGAATTGAGCAAAGGATGCCAAGGCTAAATGCAAATTTCCCAAGAATCACCAGATGAAACATCTCTAACTCACCTGGTAGCAGTGCTCAGTGTCTCAGGACTCTTCTGCAGTCCTGTGATGTGAAGAACAAGGAGCCAGAGGGAAAGTTATCCCAGGATCGCAAGGGACACATTTTCCTACCAGGACTTGTGTCCCTTGCCTTTGACTTGTCTGACATTGTGATGCCCCATAAAATACCTACATGGTGGAGTCTGCACTTCCTGTAAGTGTTGACTCAAATGCAACTGCTTGTGAAGATTTGTCTAAATCTTTCCAGTTCCTTCCTTGAAAATCATACTGTAGCTTACTCAAAATGTCGAAAAGAGTAGTAGTTATTTCAAATTTTTCATTTATATCTTAAATACCTTTATTGGTCTAAACTTTAGTATCCAGAGTAATGAACTATTGAACGAGTTAGAGAAACAGATAGATGTGAATGGGAAAGCACAAGCAGCCTCTTGAAATGAGAGCATCTAGTCCCTAGAAGACATGTGAAGAGATGTGGCTGGAAGGTAACAGTATGGTATGGTTATCTAAACAGAACCAGTAGTAGAAAAACCTGGACACCAATGGCTACAAAAGATTCCATTCAGAATCAGGTTAGTGAACTCCCAGCCCAGGAATTCTTCCATCCCTAAGAGACAAAGCTTTACTTTCTCTTTCTCTGAGACTCATCTTCCATCTTTCCCTGACACCCAGTCCTTTGTCTGTCACAGGGAATGTACTTTGCAAAACCCTAGATGACCACAAGCAGTCTTATTCTAGTCCCATGGCAATGACATTCCTCCACATGTATATATATGAAAAGATTAAAATCAAGAGTCAATACACAAGAGAAAACATGCAATATTTTTCTTTCTCAGACTCAAAAGGAAGTCTGTACCTCTGCTACCTCACATCCAACTGAAGTATTTTGCTGTTAGAGCTGAGCCCCTGGCTGCCCTCTAGTACCTATGAGTTAATTGAGAGACAGCCTAGTTGCATCAGCAACTATCTTAATGATCTGAAGTTAGACTTTGTGATAATCATGCCAGGCAGGAGTAATGCAGATAGTTGTGGATCTTGATCTACAGCAGTCAGATGTGATCCTTATTAATACAGGAGTGGAGCTTTGGGATGGAGATTCATTCCTGATATATAGGGTCTTTGGGATGGAGAGCAGAAGGAACTTTAGAAACAGAGCTTAGTCTTGTTGCCCAGGGTGGGGTGTTTTTCTTTGATAAGTGAAATGTGGGTCTATATTCTGCTCCTGTTTATAACCCAGAAATATTCTGAGAGGTAAAAACAAGTGACTGACAGAGAAGAAGCTGCTGTAGGTAACATGGCATAATGACCTCTTGTCATCTTCCACTCTGCCTCCACTCAATCAATGTAATGCATGGTTTCCCATTGGCAGGAAGACATATGACACAACATAGATGTCTGTGAAAATCCATGATAGCAGTCATTAGGATGCACTGCCAAGTAGACCTCATAAGACTCCATGGGATTTGTCTTGTGGGCAGACACTGCAACCTCCAATTGTGTCTGCTGGTCTTTAATGGAGGACACAGTAAGCAGATCTACCAAGTGTCTGAGGTACCAGAGCTACTGCACTCTGTGATTTCCATGTGTTTTATTGCTTAGTGCTTATTGGACATGTCAAAGTTCTTGAATCTTCCCTTCTTGAACAGCAGAGCAACATTCAATAGACTAAAACTTGTATTGAAGTTCTGCACCTACCATTCATTAGATGAGGGTATTTTGTCAGATGGCTTCACAATTTTCTTGCTTGAATTCCTTATTTCTACACAGGATTGTTTGTAGGATCTACTGTAAAGTTCATTATGAGGCATAAATGAAATGATGTCTGCAAAAGTTTAGTAGTCAGTGCTAAAACGTATACAAAGTTATTTACAGAATGCAAATTGCATGTATGAGGAATGAATACATTGTCCAATGCCACATAGTGCCTGCCACAGCATAGTTTCCTGTACTCCTATGTAGAGACTGCTGTCATCTCACACTGGAACTTGACTTTGTTGTCTTAAAGACTGACACCCATGTGCTTGCATGCATTCCTTTTTAATTATCTGTTTAGTAGACTTCTCAAAGGAGAATTGAGTAATTACTGAAACATTTTATACTTTCAGTCAATGTGTGTAATGTGTGTATAATTTTTCATCCAAAATATCATGTTGAAGGGACCAGCTTCCCTTTTGGCAGCCATAATGGCCGAACACGTGCTTCTATGACCTTGTCCTAGACACTAGAAACTCAGATGCCTGCCTCGTGACAAGGAAACAATCAAAAGTTAGTCACTAGAACGTCAGATGCCTGTCTCATGACAAGGAGCCAATCAGAAGTTAGCTGGTGGTGCTATGCTTTACGACCCTGGGTGTGCTTTACGGACAAGGGCACAGCAATGATTCGAAGAGCATAGCAACCACCCTGGGAGGGCCTATGGGCCATAACAAGCAGTTAAAGAAACAACACAGGCAAACCCTCCAAGCCTGGAGGCACACCAATCCTGAGCCTGTGCATACCCCTAGACACTCCCCTTACACTGCCCTATAAAGATCTGTGCGCAGCAGCTTCAAACTGTCTTTGCTAGCTATCTGCCATGATGGGTGGGTCAAAGACCCGAGCTAACATGGGGTTAGCTTGTTAAACTACAATAAAGCCTCATGCAATTTGCATCAAGCTTTCACCTCCATTCTGTGATTGGGGTGGCCGAGGTCCCGGGCTAAGATTCTGGAAGCCTCAGCTTTCCGAGGGTCTTACAATGTTTGCTCATATTTACCTCATCTCCATTCCTTGACTTCTGCCAGTCTTTCACTGTGCCACTCCAAGAGGGTTAATAAAGTTAACTTTGAATCAGTGGCAAAGTTAGGGACTATTTGACCAGAATTAGCCATAGAGAAGCCAGAAGATGGATAGGTACGTGGACTGGAAGGTAAAGAAAGGGACTTGGAATTTGCCTGCTCTCTTGGTTCTGGGAAGTAGAGAGAAGGACAGCCTGTTGCTCTTCCACCTTCTTTGATCTATCAGCTTATTAACCCAATATTTGACTTATGAGTTTTATTGATAACAGAATAATTTAGATAATCTCCATGAAGGGGTTGATAAAGATGTACCATTTAGGGTTAAACAACTAAGATTTTGTTCTCAGTTCTTTGACTAGGTAAGTATTTCTGCTTTGATTGTTGCCAGCTGTGAAAAGAAGCTGCTCTGACCAAGGGTGACATCACAGAAGGTCTATGGATATCAACATTTTTACCCTAGTTTCTGTTCCTGTTGCTGTGTTAAGATACTACATGAAAAACCAAATTAGGGAAGAACGGATTTATTCGATCTTGCCTATAGTCCAATACTGACAGATTCCAAGGTAGGAATTCATGACAGGAATCTGGAGCCTGGGACTGAAGCAGAGACCCTGGGTACATTCTTCTTACTGCCTTGATTCACTGGTCCACTCTGCTTGCCTTCTTATACAACCCAGGACCGCCTGTTCAAGGGAGACACTACCTATAGTGGACTGGGGCTGCTCAAATAAATTATTAATCAAGAAAATACTCCACAGATATGCCCACGTGCCATTTTGATTGAAGAGATCCCTCAGTTAAGGTTTCTTTTCTTTTTCTTTTTTTGAATTAGCACAAACACGTTTATTTAGTAACCAAAGTAACTAATCATAGGTAAATCAACACTTTGACATGGGTTTCATGTAAAGTGTTGGTAATAAAGATAACTGAAAAACAGTCATGAAAAATAAAACTGAAGAAAAGAAGCTCTGTGGATATTTATGACCTGCTATTGAACTGAGCGGATTCACTCTCACAGTTTCTTGTCTAGGGTCTCGACAAATCCTCACTCCACCTTTTCAGAGACCCGAGTACAGGTCACATTGTTCATGACACAATCCACCACCAGCTTCTCATCCTTGACTCTTCTTGTTATTGTGCTTTCCTTCCCATCCCAGTTCTGGAGCTGAACCAGGGCGCCGTCAGTGAAGGTGCAGACCGTCTGAGTTTTTCTGCCATCAGCTGTAGTTTCATCAAACTTCTCCTCCAGGGTACAAGAAAACTGCGTCGTCTTCAAAGAGCTCTCAGTTTTAATGGTGATATTGTGATGGGGGAAATACTTCTGTGTATGTTTATAAATAAAATACTTGCTTGGCCAATGGGACAGGAGGTTAGGCTGGACTAGGAGTTAAAGAGAATTCTGGGAAACGTAGTAGAGAAGTGGTGTTCCAGACAGGAAGTGACATAGCAAGGAGACTCATATTTAAGAAGAGGAAAAAGGAAATGTCGCTCTCTTTTCCCCTCGGCTCCTGCTCTAGCCGCACGATATGATTCACCGGCAAGGAGGGACGCCAATAAGGAGTCCGATAAGATAAGTCCCATAAAATATATAGATATATGGTAATCAAGACTGAGCTAACAAATGAGAATCCTAGTCATTGGCCAAGCAGCTTTGTAACTAATACAAGTCTCTCTGTGTATTCATTTGGGCCTAACTCGGGCAGGCAGCTGGCATAAAGCTCGCACGTGGCGGTGGGGCTCAGGCAACATTTGGCAGAAATATTTATCGTAACAATATTGTTGCTGTCACAAGTAATGATGCAGTCTGGTTTGGCCATAGCACCCATTTTCCTAAGAGCCAATCCTACTCCTAGCTCCTTTATGTACTCCTCAAAGCCTTGGCTCTCGGTCAGGCGCCACTTCCCCTCGAGGTCCTTAATGCAGGCAAGCACGAAAGCAGCAGTAAGGAGACGTGGTGGTGAGGGCGCTGTCAGTTAAGGTTTCTTGTTTCAAAATAACTGTAGTTTGTGACAATTTGCCAAATATACATTGTACATCTGAACACTTGTCAATTTGCCATATGAAAATGTTACTGTTAAACTATAATCCTCACTTTTTTGTTGATTCCTAGGATCTTATAATAGTATCACAACATGAAACAGTATAACTTAAAAATTCCCACAGTTGCCCACTGGGTCTACTCCCCTATAGTGGACCGGCTCTGGCCTGAGGGACCACCCAGAGTCTGGCCACACCTCAGTCTTGGTCTCCCATAGGCTCTCCACCTTCTACTTGAGTCTTGGCCCCTCATACCTTCTGCTTGAGTGAGGAGAACACCAGGAGTGACTTAGACCATTCAGAGTTGCATACACTGAAGACTTGAACCACTTACACAACCAGGACTCTAGAGGAGAGGAAGAAACACCAACTTCACCCACTGGAATAAGGGATAGGAAGATGACAGTGTAAGAACACACTAAACAACAGAAAGACCAATATGACACCACCAGAATCTAGTGACGCCACACCAGCAAGACCTGAAAATCCCAATGCAGATGAAGCAAAAGAGAAGGACCTTAAAAACTATTTTATGAAGACAATAAAGACCCTTAAAGAGGAAACAAGAAAATCCATTAAAGAAATAGGAGAAAAAAACAAAAAATACACGGAATGGAGGAAAAGACAAGACAAAAATTCAAGAAATAAACAAATCTCTTAAAGAATTCAAAGAAAGCCAAGAAAAAACACTCAAACAAATGAAGGAAACAATTCAAACAATTTAAGGCTTGAAAACTAAAATAGAAAAAATAAATAAAGCACAGAATGCGGGGATGCTGGAAATAGAAAAGCTGGCCAAAGGATCAGGAACTACAGATGTAAGTATAACCAGTAGAATACAAGAGATGGAAGAGAGAATCTCAGGTGTTGAAGATGCAATAGAAGAAATACAATCATGGACCATAGAAAATCTCAAGTCCAACAAATCCTTAACAAAATATCCAGGAAATATGGGACACCATGAAAAGGCCAAACCTAAGAATAATAGGTATAGAAGAAGGTGAAGCAACACAGCTCAAGGGTACAGAAAACATATTCAACAAAATCATAGAAGAAAACTTCCCCAACCTATAGGAGGATATGCCTATGAAAGTACAAGAACCTTACAGAACACCAAATAGACTGGACCACAAAAAAGAAGTCTCTTCCCCACATAATAATCAAAACACTAAACCTACAGAATAAAGAAAAATATTAAGAGCAGCAAAGGAAAAAGGTCAAGTAACATAACCTATCAGAATTATACTGGACTTCTCCATGGAAACTCTGAAAGCCAGAAGGTCCTGGATAGAAGTTCCACAAACAAGGGAACATGGATGCCAGTCCAGACAACTATACCCAGCAAAGGTTTCAATCACTATAGATGGAGAAAACAAGATACTCCATAACAAAACCAGATTTAAACAGTATATATCCACAAATCCAGCCCTATGGGAAGGAAAACTCCAACCCAACCAACATAACTACACTCACAAAAACATAGGCAATAGATTATTCCACTTTACCAAAAACCAAAAGAAAAAGGGGGAGAAATCCACACACCACCACCACCACCACCAAATTAACAAATAATGGTCATTAATATCCCTCAATGTCAATGGTCTTAATTTGCCTATAAAAAGACACAGACTAACAGAATGGATAAGAAGACAGAATCCATCCTTCTGTTGCATACAATAAACATATCTCAATGCCAAAGACAGACATTACCTCAGAGTAAAGGGTTGGGAAAAGATTTTCCAATTAAATGGACCCAAGAAACAAGCTGGTGTAGCAACCAATACTAATATATAACAAATTAGACTTCAGACTAAAATCAATCAAAAGAGATGAATGAGGTCATTTCATATTCATCACAGGAAAAGTCCATCAAGATGAAGTCTCAATTCTGAACATCTATTCACCAAATACAAAGGCACCCACATTCATAAAAGAAACATAACTAAACTCAAACCACAAATAAAACCTCACACACTTATAGTGGTTTCAAGCCCCTTCCTTGGGATCTAGTCTTGACTTCTCTTTATGATGAACTGTATGTAACCTGTGAGGTGAACAAACCCTCCACTTTCCCAGACTGGCTCTTTTGAGTCTTATCACAATAATAGAAAGCTATCCAGAACACCTGCCATATTCTCAGGACATGCTATGATGTTCCATCCTTCTGTCAGCCTGCAGCCTCTTTGATTACCAACCACAGAGGTTCTGGACACTGAAATCTGTTGAAATACCTACTACACATACTCACATGCTTACATAACTATATTGAAGTACTTTTAATTTTGGTATCTGACATGACATGTTTCTCCCAAATATCACAAGGATCTCTGCTTTTCCCTTTGAAAATTTTCTCTGGATCTCCATCTTTCCACTTTAAAAATTATCATTTGCTCATAATAGTACTATATAGTCAGATTATTAAGTTCCACAAAATGGTTTTTTTTTACTGTACTAATGTTTTCTAATTCACCATTCATTGCACTAGTATTAGTAGTTTCGAAAAACTGACCCTTTATAGTTCTTACTTATCCACATAACTGAAACTTCCATTCATTTCAGTATTGAACATCTCTCAGAACATCAGCTTCAGAGATCTTGTATGTATTTAAGATTGCTCTTCAGGACTTCATAGCTGATCTTATTAATAGTATGATTTTAAAATATCACAATACAAAAATGCTTTGTTATGTATTTATAAACCAATGGTTAGTGTAATTATTTCCCCTGATTTCTCTTTCAGTATACAGTTAGGTGACTGACTTTTGTGTGTTAACTTCTACTTTTACTAAGGTATAAATCAGATTAAGAAACTTATTACAATTTTAGTTTTTGTGATTACACTCATATCATCTGTAATACAAAAATTTTTATTTCTTCCTTTTCCATTTGTATCAATTGTACTAGTGTTCTAGTTCAGAGTTCAAGTGCTATGTTAAATAGCTATGGAAATACTGGACATCCTTATCTTGGTCCTGATTTTGTGGAATTGCTTTGAGATTTTCTCTATTTATCATGATGCTGCTGTGAGTTTGTTGTACAGTGACTTTATTATGTTGAAATAAATCCTCTATAATCCTAGATTCCAAGGCTATTTATCATAAATGGATGTTGGATTTGTTCAAAGGCCATTATCTCATCTAATAAGATAGTCATGTGGTTTCTTCATTTATTTACTTTATGGGTTGAAATGTATTTTTTCATTTGTGTATGTTGAATTATCCTCACAGGTCTGAGGTTAAGACAACTTGAACATGGTGATGAGTTTCTTAGATATTATTTATTTTCTTATCTTATATACCCCAGTTCCCACTCCTACCTGTCATTTGCTCCCCTCATCTCCCCAACCTACCCCCATCCATCCCTTTGAAAGGGTAAGGTCTCTCATCGGGGTCAACAAAGCTGGGTACATTAAGTTGAGGGAGGAACAAGAATCTCCCCAACGAATTAAGGCTGAGCAAGGCATCCCACCATATGGAATAGGCTCCAAAAAGCCAGCTCATTCACCAAGGACAGATGGTGATTCCACTGCCAGGGTCCTCCCAGACAGACCAAGTACAAAACTGTTGCCCACATTCAGAGTTCCCGGCTCAGTCCCATGGAGGCTCCACAGCTGTTGGCCTAGTGTTTGTCAGTTCCCAGGAGTTCCTTTCAACTATCTAAGATTTCTCCATTATGGTCTTCCATGATGGATGACTTCTTTTTGATGTGATGCTGATGTTGGTTTCCAAGTATTTTATTTGAGAATTTGTCCACCAGGTGGCAGAACATCTCAGTTGCAATCTTGGGGATGGTTTGTTTGACCCCTGAAGGAGCAGATTCAGTCAGAGGCTTCTGTGCAGACAACTGAAGAACCTGCAGTGTTGTGGAGGACAAAGGAGGTGAGATGATCACAGAAGCATCTTGCCTGACTGAAGGCCACAGTCCCCAGGGAGAGCTATGAGGACACTGACTGGACCTTTTGTCCTGTGCTTGTGGCTCCTGCGCTGAACTGTGAGTGAGAGCTTTTGGAAACAAGACATTTTTGTCAATGTTCATTGATCAGTCTGAGGATCAGACCGGTTCCTCCAGATTGTCTGAAATCACTGTGGGAAGAAAACCAGTTTGGGGAATGGTGACTTCATGGTCTTCCTGCTGCTGCTTTTGCACAGGTGTGAGCAGAGGAGAGCAGGTGAAGCAGCAGCCTTCTCTCCTGAGTATCCAGGAGGGAGGAGGCATCTTTATCAAGTGCACCGACACAGACACTGCCAATTATTACTTGTACTGGTACAAAAAAAAGAGCCTGGGGCAGGTCCCCAGTTGCTTATAAATGTTCTTTCAATTGTGGATAAAAAAGAAGAACAAGGACTCATTGTCCTACTGAATAAGGATAAACATCTCTCCCTGAACATGGCAGCTGCCCATCCTGGGGACTCTGCCATGTACAGCCAGTGCACACGGTTCCCCAGACACCTGCTGCATGCACACCAACCTGTGACCATGGCTGGAGACAAATATATTTTCCAATGTTGGCAACATGAATTTCCTGTATTTTGTTACATAGTTGCATAGTCTAAAACATCTTGAAATTCTGATTCTAAAGCATACAAGTTCTAGAGCATCTTGAGTGATCTCATAATGAGAATAACTGATTATAGGTCAATACCTAGTTGGCTGTCAGATGCCATTTAGATGCCTCCACTCAAAAGACACCTCTGTGTCACTGGTAGAGAATACTCACAATTTATCTTTAGTTTTTTTGAATATTCTCCACACTGATTTCCAAAGTACCTCCATCAATTTTCATTGTCCCCAACAGTGAATGCGGGTTCCTTTCTCCCACAACCTTCACCACCTTTGTTGTCAGTTGTTTTACTAAGCTTAGATACTCTAAGTGGGGTGAAATGAAATTTCAAAGTTGTTTCATTTTGCATTTTCCTAATTACTAAAGATGATGAACAATTTTGAGATTTTTATTTTAGCTATTTTTATTTCTTCTTTTGAGAACTCCATCTAGAAAGTCTTGTCCTCTGACCTTCTCCATTTCCTTCACCAGAAAGTGATGGAGTGAAAATGGCTGGTTTAGTGAGAACTTGGAAATGGACTGAAGTCACTTATATTGGTGGTGTCAGTCCACTAGGGGGCACTGCAGGATTCCTAGAAACTACTTTTAAAAAGGTTCCTAGAGGTTTGAAGATCTGAGAAGAAACATTAGGACACAAAGCAATCCATTCACAAGGAGTAGGGATGACGGTGTGGAGATCACCTGGGTCTTTAGTTTTCAATCATTCTGTAGAAAACCACAGATATCTAGAGCCTGTTTCCTGGATCTCATGTGCCTATCAACCTATTTTAACAACAATTCTCTGAACAAAATAGAATCTTACTGGACATTATTAAAATGGACACTCAAAAGAAAACAATTACACTGCTTTCATTTTTAAATTTTTTTGTTGGAAAGTTCCCAAGTTGAAAAAACTAGAAATTATTCCAATACCCTTAATACCCTTTAACACACACACACACACACACACACACACACACACACACAAACACACGGGGGGGGGCAGAAGGGAGGGAGAGACAGAGAGAGTGAGAGAGAATACTCTAAACTACAAAGTAAAAGAATAACTGCTTGAGAAAAACTGAGATATAAGTATAAAAACAGAAAGGATGGGGCCTCAGTTGTGTTTTCCTGCCCAGCGCTGCACAAGAGCTGGGCAGAAAGCAAGAGATGGAAAATAAATGAGGGCAGAAACACGAGCATGCCTCATTTTCTTATAATCAACAAACTGTCGTTGGGAACATTTTCTATGCACATAATGCTCTGCTAACATCAAGAAGCTCTTTTTATTCTGTGGAGGGCATTGCATGCAGATTTTTTACATTTTGTAACTTAAGAATTCTGAGTGTATTAACCACAATTAAAGGTGGGCCCCATGGCCAACCATAGGTGGCCAACACAGAATGAACCCAATGATGATTTGTATCGTATTGTATAGTCTGGGTGTTCTTTTTGGTCTTTTGGTCTTTTCTGTATTTTATGGATCCCTGTCTTGTGTTTTTATGGATTTATTTGTGTGTTTATTCTTCAATATTGTTTTTCAATTCTGGTTTGTTTGTTTTTTGTTGCAATTGTTGTTGTTTGCCTATTTGCTTTCTAAAGAGAGGGGAAAAGATAGGGCATGCAGTTGTGTGTGTGAGGAGATGGGCAAGATTTGAGAGGATGCTGGGGAGAGGAGGCTATGCTCACAATGTATTGTATGAGGTTTTTTTTTTATTTTGAGACAAAAGAAAGGTACAAAAAATTGTTCTAGGCTACTTCCAGGAACTGCTGAATCCATTGGAGCTATTAATTTTCCCACCAGTATTAGTCCCCTTCCTCGGACATTCTCCTCCAAACTCCCCTTCTAAGAAGTGTTACATTAGAAATACAGTGTCCCGGGGTCTCCATCATTGTCCTCCACAGTTGTGGAGCCATTGTCATGCAGAGTCCTGAGGTGGATGTGGGTGGGGTTTCTTCTTCAGATGAATGAGGAAGTTGGGTGATTCAGACAGAAGCTGTTGTGTGTGAGCACAAGTGTGTCTGGGCACAAGACTTGACACCCTCACAGCTGGAGAGAAGCTATCCCAGCAACTGAACAGGGGCCATGCAGAGGAAGCTGGGAGCTGTGCTGGGGATTCTGTGGGTGCAGATTTGCTGTGAGTTGTGTTCTCCTACATTGCTTTAGGGATTCTCCAGAGACGTCAGTGTTGGAGGAGGAAGATGCTAACCCAGAGCTCCTGTGCAGTCATCCTCATGGTGTCTCCTGGGATATTTGCCAGGTGTGGGTGGAAACCCCTCACTGATTCTGATTGGCTTTTCTGTTTCCAAACAGGGGTGAGAGGAGTTTAGGTGGAGCAGAGTCCTTCAGCCCTGAGTCTCCACGAGGGAACCAATTCTACATTGACATGCAAGTTTTCTACAACCATGACAAATGTGCAGTGGTTCCAACAGAATCCCAGGGGCAGCCTCATCAATCTTTTTTCCATGGCTCCAGGAACAAAGGAGAATGGGAGGTTAACTGCAACATTCAATTCTAAGGATCGCAATAGCACCCTGCACATCAGGGACGCCCAGCTGGAGGACTCAGGCACCTACCTCTGTGCAGTGAGTGCACAGTGCTCCCAGCAAGCCTGCAGCCTGGCCCCAAACTGCAGCTGGGTGTGCAGCTACAGCTCTGCCACAGGGAGACTCTGCAGCAGTGTTTGCACAGCTATGGCTTTATCAGATCTCCACCAAATACAAGGAAGGTGTGAGGAAACAGAAAATTACCACAACACAAGTTTACACATAAACTGATGTAATACTGACTTGTAGAAGAAGAAATGCTCAGAAATATCAGCCTACATGAGTAAAATTCACACTTTATTTTATCAAATGCTTGTGCTAATATCATAAAATATAAACCTTGTTACACACTCTAGAATCATTTTGGGCATTTCCCCATTTTGGAAACTGAGAGCAACTGTTTCCATACTGTGTTTAGAGAACACAGGACAACACCTTCAGCTAATCTGATCAGCATGAATTTGATAAAAGAATTAATTTTGAAGACCTAATAAACTTAGTTGTACAAATGCAAGACAAAGAAATCTTAAATCACAACATGATTTCAACAGTGTCTTTATATTTTTAAAAATATATTTAATTATACAATACACAACAAATATTTTATGTAACAAATTATGAGGCCAAAATGATACATTACAAACAAGAGATACATATTTGTAATTTGTATTACAATAATACTTGCAGCAATTGGTTCTACAAAATACTTATCTACAATGTAATAAATATGCAGTAATTCTCATTAAAACATTGCTTTCAAAAGAAAAACTGGAAACCTCCTGAAAGTCACACTGTAGGGGATAATCTATTGATCAAAATACTGCTGATTCCCAAGGGATGGCAGCTTACATTCCACAGTTGAAAAGTTCTGGTGAGCTACTTGTCTCTGCAAGGAACTGGAAAGCAGCCATGCTCCTTTATTCAGGAATTGTCTTCCCATTGCTATTTTCATCTTGAAACAGCCCCTGAGTGGTTACAACAGCAACTGGATTGGCTAAAACATTTACTTTCTAGAACTTCACAAATTAACTGACCCCTTGTGATTCATTCACCTTCATCCCAAATACAGCTACATTTGATTCAAATACAGACTATCTGAGATTCCCAGACAGTAAACCATTCCTATTTGTCAATAAGGTCCATGTGAGCACTGCTAGAAGTTGTGACACTACAGTGACAGCTTCTACAGTAAGAATTACTATTTCAGTCATCTCAGAGAGTTCACAAATAGCAACCATCATAATCCCAGCTTCCTGATAGTGTGTGGTGAGGAATTAGGTGAGATTGGAATATGGTAATTAGACACAGAAAGAGGGTACTCCAGAAAAGTCTCTCTAACTGATCTTGATAGATCTTTTTCCTAATCATCTTCTGCTTAATCTTGACTTGAAAGTGCTTGTTGAATAAACAAATGAGCTTGAGGCCTACAGATAGTAGTTTTAGAAGTTTCCTAGACAAAAACACACAATAAACTTCTTTTTTAAAAAAATTAAGTTTTATTTTCTGCTGTAAATCCTTAAAATCAATAAAAATTTAAGTTAAATCAGAATATAAAACGTGAAAGAATTGTATCACTTGAGAAAAGCACCTTCCATTATTCCACATTTGCATATACAGTCATCATGACAAGATATTCTCTTCATCCCAGGCTGTCATAGATCTGTGAGCTCTTGCACTTGAAATTGACAATGCCCATTCTCTTTTTAAGTCTGGTCCACAGTAGTATCTGTCTGATGCACAATTGCTTTATCCGGTTACATTAATTCATCATCTCCAATTCCTGTACTGACTCTTCCAGATTTTCTGCTCATTTGCTGCTTCTGAACTCAGTTTTCTCATTAGCCTCTGTTAAGGTCTGAATTTCATCCAGGTAGCAAAATTACACAGTTCTTTTTAGACAATTGTGATCAGTTATCACAGTCTTTTCTTCCTGATCATAATGATGCCTTTTGTGAACCTATTTGTTTCTGGTCATCAATAATGTCCCCAAAAGCTGTTTATTCTCTTTTCTTAACGTGTTGTTTCCATTTTCTGCCTCTTTATTCAAAAAGCCAATTGGTCATTAACTTTCTTCTTTTTATCTAACACTTTTTCCTATTCTTGAACTCTCTCTTTTTATTCCAACTGGTTTTCTTTTTTGATGTGTCTTGCATTCAGTTTTCAACTATTTTTGAGAAGTTTTTATCTATGTTCATAATAGATATTTGTCTGTAATGTTCTGCCTTTGTTGGATCTTTGTGTGGTTTAGATATCAGTGTAAATAGATTCACCTACAAAGAATTAGATAGTGGTCTTCTGCTTCTGTTTTTCAGAATGATTTGGAGTTGGGGTTAGCAATGAGTTGTTCCATTTCCATGAATTTGTGCACTTTCTGCTGGTTTTGATATGCATGGATCCTGTTTTTAATCTAATCTGTTAGTCTCTTCTTATCAGGGAATTGAAGCCATTAATATTGAGAGTGATCAATGAGCAGTGTTCATTGATTGCTGCTATTTGTTGCTATGGTCTGAGTTTCCTTCCTGTTTTGATTTGATGGTCTGGGGTTATTTATTCTTTGTGCTTTTCTTGGGTGCCGTTACTTAATCTCTTCAGATTTCTTCTATCGTCTTCTACAAAGCAGGATTGGTAAGTAGATACTGTTTAAATTTGGTTTTATTTGGAATGTTTTTGTTTCTTCCTTAATTGTGATTGATAGG